GAAATGGTATATTTTTAAATTTAGTTTGAAAATTCGAATTGGGTTTTTATAAAAATTAAGTTTGATTATATATAATTATGTTTTTTTTTGTGTTAATTCTGTGTAAATATAGAAATTAAATGTATTATCCGTTAAATGTATTTATTGTAATATATAATTGATGCAGGAATATGGTGGAGACGGAAATGATTACAGTGGGATATTTGGACATGATGGTCCATTCGAAGAAGCTCAACAGGCGATTGATTGGGCAAAAGAGGTTGCAATTGCAGCTGGATTTTGCTTGGTAGTAGTAACTCATAAATCTCAACGGGATGGTAGAATGGATCGCATTTTGAGATGTGACCGTTATCGCAAAAGAGAAGAAAGAGATTTTCGTACAGCCACTCGGTTTGATACAAAGCGGAAAGGTTGTGGGTGTGAGTTCAGAGTAAAGGTTCGACAACTACGGAGTCGTGACGGTTGGGAAGTGATTGGTTACTCTAAATGGGGGTATCACAACCATGAGATGATAGTATATGAAGAGGGTCATCGACAACTGAGCGGCTTAAGTCCTGCTGCGAAACTAGTTGTGAAAGAAATGAGTGATGCTCAAGTGAAGCCTGCTAAAATATTAGCATCTGTGTTAGAGAAATTTCCAGAAGACCATCCAAACCGAAGACACATCTACAACGTCAGACAGCAACTTAGGTTTGAACGGTCAGAGGGAAGGAACCCTATACAGCAGCTGCTACACCAGGCACAATCACGTGGTTACCTGTTCTGGTTTGATTCTGATGAAGATACAGCGGAGGTGACTCATCTTTTCCTTGTGCATCCTGATTGTGCTGATATGATCAAGTCTTGGCCATTTGTGATTTTGATCGACTCAACGTACAAGACAAACAAGTACAAGTTCCCACTGGTTGAGATGGTTGGGATGGCTCCAACGAACCAGAACTCTCTGATTGGTCATGCAATCATCAGGGATGAGACGGCTCCAAGTTATTATTGGGTGTTGGAGAAGCTGAGAAACTACATCGGGCCTAATGTTCATCCAGCAGCCATCGTCAGCGACTGTGAGGGAGGTCTCTTTGCCCCCATAGCAGAGCTGTTTCCCGAATCGAACCACTTATTGTGCACATGGCACATCAACAACTGCGTGAAAGTGAAAGCCTACAACCTTTTCAAGAAGAATTTGGAAATGACAGAGAGATTGGTGAATGGTAAGTGGCGGAAGATCCTACAGGCTACCACAGAGGAAGCGTATGAGCGAGCATTGGCTAACTTCAGGGATTCGTACCAGTGGTGTCCGGCACTGGTGGACTATGTGATGCATCAATGGGTCCCTCACAGGGAAAAGTTTGTCAAATATTGGACAAATCAGGTACTTCATTTTGGGAACACTACAACATGTAGAGTTGAGAGCGCTCATAGAGCTACCAAGGACTGGATTGATTCATCGACCGCTGCTTTGGATACACTGTTCGCTAGACTGAACAAGTCAATTGAAACTCAAAAGAACGACATCAGGAACTCTCTAGAGGACTCCAGACGACGACATGGTACGATGTATAGCCATTTTATATTTAAGATTCTCCATGGTCGTGTGTCGCACTACTGCTTGGGGTTGATTCTCACTGAGCTGAACAGGGTGAGGGACTTGACTTGAATAAACGCCACAACCGTGGCCGTGGCGTCCAGCCCAGGCGCCAGCCAACTGGTGGCGGCATCTGCAGCTGGCGCCACCACCGCTGGTTGGGCGTCCAGCCAGGGCACCCCACCGCGGTCACGGTGGGTTTTCCCTTTTTTTTTTTTTTTTAAACAAAATGTACCTTTCCTCCTTGGGACATCCTTCCCTCCGCCGCCGCCGCCAATTCCTTGCCTTGCCGCCTCGACATTGCCGTTATTTGAATTTTTTTTTTTAGAGAGGTTGAAAGAAGATGAGCAATGAGAGTGTGAGTGATGAGAGTGTGAGTGATGAGAGTGTGAGTGTTTTTTTTAAGGTCAAGGGCAATTTTGGCAAACCAAGTGAATTTTGTGGGCTTTATGTAGTAATTTGTGGGCGATGTTTAACAAATCCCAAAAAAAAAAGATGTATGACTCAATTACAAATCAATTTGTTTTTCTTATTAGGTGAATGACCAAAAAAAAAAAAGAAAAACCCAAAATAATTTTTTTTTTTTAAAAATTTGACTTGTTTTTAATTTCAAAGTATTTCATAAACTCCATGATGAATAGTTTTGTTTATCACAGGGTAAATAGCGATTTTAAAGGATTTTGTCCATTTATATTGAAAATTTTACACTTTTGCCCTTGTGATAATTACGGAGATAAAGGTAATATATGATTTATACAAGAGTAGAAACTCATGAATTTGTGGGAATTAAATTGCTTACTACTTTAAATTTCATTTTTTCTATAATTGTTTGGTTTAAAATGTGGAAAGTAATTTTTCACACGAAATTCAAGGCCTATACACTTTTTTTTTTTTACGGGGAGAGCCTATACACTCGGTCATTAGCTCATTTTTTTTTTTTTTTTTTTTTTTTTGAGGAACGGTCAAGCTCATTCAATAAACAAATAAGTAAAATATTATTTGCTTATTTATTGATTAAATAAGAAAATAAATCTCGGGTGTGATATTTTTAAGGAATTTCTATTTACCTTTTTTTTTTAAGGAGAAATTTCTATTTACCTAGAAAGAACTAGATAATTAAATTTCTACTCCATATAGAGAAAATTCATGAGATTTTCTACTCCCTCCTATTCCATTGATTTATTAATTTTTTTTGTTTCAAAGAAACATCTAAATTTTTTTCAATTCCCATATTTTCTTGTGCCAATTTTTTAGATTTTCTCTTTCCTTTCCATTTTTACAGTTTTACTTGATTCGATTTTTTACAAACCCCTTCGTTACGCAGTAATTAATTTCCTGGGTTTTGAGAGTAGTTTTGGTCTAATGAGATCGTTGGTTGTGAAATTGTGATGTAATCAAGGAGTCATGGAGCAGCCATTGATGAAACTAAACAATCATAGATTAGACAAGGGTCAACCTAATTTCTGCAGGTACTCACATTTTCCTTATTTTAATTTAATTTTGTTGACAAACTTAGATATAAGAAAATTCAATTATACCTCTATTGACTCCAATGGCGGTTGATTATATAGTATATTTTTATCACAATGTATTAAAAATTACAAATTTGAAAAACCCTTTTAATTTAAAGGCACGCATTTGCTTCCTTTGAAAGAAATCAAAATGCCAACTTATTCTTGTTCTTTATTCTATTTGGTTAGTCAATTCTATGTTCTTTTGTTGGTCTAACAATCTTTATTAGTTGGGTTAATCTTAATTTTTCCTAGAATAGCTTCAAGATGTGGGTTTGATTTGTAATTTAATATATCTATTGACTAATGTTCTTTAAATACTACTATGTTCAAAATCAAAACCCAGAATTTGGTTCCAAATGTGCTGCCTTTACCTTATGTGACTCTATACGTACATAAGTCATAAGGCTATATCTTTATTGTGTACCTGAATGTATACGGGCTAATGAACGGGATATATCAAATTTGCTAGGTAAAATATTGATGAAAATTCTTGAGAGATTTCTTTTTTCCTTTAAAAAAATTAACAAATAAAAAATTCAGGATTAAGGGTTTGGAATGTTGTGTTGAAGGTAGGATAATTGACTCGTCTATTATTATCTTGATGGATGTAAAGAGGGAGGTAATGGGCAAATGATGTAGACCGAATGTGCTATGACTCTATGAGTTCTTTGGTAAAACCTGATGATAATGAGTTTTTAATCGACTAAGCTAATTGTCAACGACACATAATGAGGTTGTTAATATTGAACTTTTCCTTTTTTTTTTTTTTATTTGGGGCAAGGAGAAAGAAAGTTGAATGTGTATGGCTTGGGCTACCATGGGAGGGGATTAAACTCGAGGGATAGTAGAGGTACTTTTATTCTATGGATGCTTGGATGGGGGGCGGAAGTGAGGGGATTCTGATATACTAATGGATGAGAATTAAACCCCTCCATCTCGGGGGTGGAATGTGAGAGTGTGTACTGCTCTATCCCGTCTTGAACCTTTATAAAATTGCAGTTAGTGACCCTCTAGATCATAGTTTAATTTAGTTCTTCAGATACTTTATAAATTGAATACAATTTCTGATAAAAGAAGGAGTTTTACTTAAGGCTGACATATGGGATCTCTTGTTATGGGAGGATATAAATGTAGAAAGATTGGGAGAGAAAAGCTAGAGCTTACTAGGTCTTGGTAAAATTGAAATGCAGTTGGTTGTTATAAAGTAGTTATATGGGTAGTATACCAGGCTCTTGAACGGATGATCAACAGGTTTTCAAACAAATGTTCTATAATTACAGCATGCATAATAGATAAACTATAATATTGGGTATCTTGTAGAGTTGCTACAATAGAAACAGTTTTGTTCCATTACATAGAGCTGAAGGTTCTGTTAGCCTGTCTATATATTGGATAAAAATGTCTAATGGAACATGGCATGTGTGGAAGGGAACATTGTGGATAGTTACCTTATTTAAGCTATTGTTGAGTGTTTGTAAAATGGAGTTATGATTCATATCATGTTGAATTCGTTCTCAAATGCAACAGGCTTCACAGCTGAATGATGCATAATGTGTGTATGAATTGCGGTATCATGTATTTCAAGTCTGTTGACAACTGACATGGACAAAATATTTGCCTTACTTTCTCTTTCAATATTTTAGGCTGGTTTATTTTGAGCTTGTACTTTGCAAAATCTTGGTTGTTAATTTATTTTTTATTTTTTATTTTTTATTTTTTTTTTCCGTTTGTGGGATGGGGGTGGAGGGAAGGGATTCGAGGGATAACCACAAAAATCAATGTTGTAAACAGATATTTTTAATCAATAATCATTAACAGTTTTTTGTTACATTTTACATCTATCTAGCCAATCTAGGGATAAATATGCTAACATATACAAACTCGGGAATTTTTTTATTCTTTTCTCCTTAGAAGCTACATATTAGTAATTGTTGGTTAGTCTGCTCTTGTTGGGAGTATGATAATGAGGAAGAGCAACAACTATCCATCGATAAGAGGAGGGCTTTCTGCAAGTCTGTAGCTTCATATCTTTGGAGAATAGAGATTGCATACTCCATAAATCTTGAATCGCATGGCAATCTAATCGGGCCATCACTTGTCACTCCAAACTCTTCTTTGGCCATTTTCAATAACTCTCTAAGAATTTCACTCTGAAGATACTTTAAGGGAATCACAAATCGTCTTCCATCCATTGTATAGACGACAAAGTGACCCTTTTCAGTCTCTGATTTCAGCCAGGAAATCCTTTTTCTGCTGGCTGCTGCTAGCTTTTGCCACTTCTTTGCCATACTGATAAGCTTCTTAGTACTAATCATGTTTTAAACTCTTGGAAAACAGAGGGAAAGAGCTATGAAGTTTGAAGTGTTAGATTTGATTTTAAGTTTGTTTGAGAGAATCAGGGGAGGTGGCTAGCCTTTTATAGACCCTTGTCAATGAAAAGGGATTTACTGTCAATCACTTCACACTGCCTCCTTGCTTTCAAAACCATGTGGATGTTGTCTCAAGAAAGCTCTGCCAAGCTAGTGGACATGTCTGATTTAAAGTTTATTAGAAGCCTGCATATGAAGGACATTTGTCAATTATGGAGTATTGATCAAAGTTTTACCTATATTATATAGAAGCTATCTTATTAAGTCTCTTGCAAGCCACTAGATAATGAAGGACTTATTGATGCTAATTGCTAAGTTGTTGTATGACATACCGGACCCTCTGATCTCATCAGGATATCCTATGGTAATATTATTGAATTAAGCAATCAAAATGACTGGGTAGCTCTATCTATTCATAGTTATTAGATTAATTAAAGTACCGGCCTTTGTTATCTCATTCATATCCAGGTCAGATATTGGCACAATCCCTTGTATGAAAATAGGAGAATTCTAGATAAAAACCTTACATTAAACACTATTTTTTTCGAAGGAAAAATAGGTAATTCTTGGAATAAGATGGAATTTTTGCCTAACTTCTAGAGTTTCATCATTGATGAAGTACTTCAAGTTTATTATAATTTGACGAATATCACATTGAAAAGCTCTGTTTGTATACATCTTCTTGGATAAAATCACAAGGCAGTTTGATAGGTTCCTCACTGAACACTTCCCATGTTTTATAACATTTGATATAAGGGTCCTTTATTGTTTCACCTCCATGTTGTAAACAAAGAAGTGACCTTTGTTAGTAATTGCTGTTCGTGAACAAGAAATTCTGCTCCTGCTATTGCTGATAGCCTTGGTCTTATGATGAGCTTCTTAGTAATGGTCATATTCTTGATGCTAGAACTAGAATAAGGAACTTGTTTGTGTTGGGTTCAAAGGAATTGTGGCAAGTGTCCAAGATTTTATTTTCTCTAGTCAAATGCTGGATGTTTATGTTGCCTCTTATGTTCCATAACAAAGCCATGTGAATGCTGGGCCAAAGCAATCTACCATGCATGTTCTCATGCCAAATAATATTTTTCTCTAAAGCTATCTTTTTGAAGTCTAGAAGGTAGTTGGCATGAAACTCTACCACACATGTCAACCCAAGAAGCGATATATCTTCTTAAATAGTGAACCTAGACAGTTTAGTTTCTTAAGCCACTAGATTTTGTGCTAGTTTAAGAGTAAAGGGATAAGATGATTACTAATCTGTAGAATTGTCTCCTTTCTTATGGTTGGTAAAGTGGTAAACCATGGTTGTAAAGCCAAAAGCACACTTAGGACTTGGCTGATTTATTGATGTCAAGTGGTTACTAGACAAATTGAGTACTTAAAAGTGATGATCATTGGGAAGTTATATGAGAACCACACAAATTACATCAAATTGAGGCATGTGGGGTTTTTACTTCTTATTTTTTCCCAAGTGTAATTTAGGTACTGTATGCTGTTGCCCACGGCTACAGGGCTAAGGTGCATCTTCGTTAGCCTATGTATGTCCATATTAACACTTATTGGGGCTCATGGGATGTACCTAGAAGAGATTGTTCTGGAATTTCTTTTCAAGGTTTTTTTTTTGCCTCCTACCAGCCTACCACACTGAAAAGGAGAAGAATATGGTAGTTCCTCTGTCTGAAATGCTTGGACTATTACGAAATCCTTACACAAATCTCAGTGTGATTAAATTAATACTGCTATATAATTAGATCAACAACAATAAAAGCTATCCATTGACTTGATCGATGATTAAGCTGATGTTTTAAAACAACATAATGGGTCACAATTCAAAACAGTGAATATGTTCATCGACGAAGTTTCTGTGGGTTTTATTACTCCTGATACTGATGGTGAAAGTTCATTTTGTTAAGGGATTTTATCTTGAAGTTTTTAGATTGATGTTTCCTTTTTCCCTCAGCCTTCCCCCCTCTCTTCGTTTTCTTGCATGTGAAGTATTTCTGTGAGGAAGGATTCCAACGAACATTAGCTTCTTATAAAACATCCAAATTGCTTCTGTTGAGACTGATGAGTTAAGATACCAAAGTTTGTAAAGACCTTTTTTCCTTTGGAAATATTTTATTGGACTTCATCTATTTTGTACTCTTTTTTTATTATTATTTTTAATCCTTCTTTCCTTCCATCATGCTAGATATTGGAATAGCTGATTTGTATGCAACTATATTGAAGGAGGGGGTGGGGGAACTACAAGTATAATCACGAGATTCCGAGTGCAAAATTGTTTGATTATGAATAAAATATTTGGTTACATTTGACATTAGTGACTTGATCTATGTACAATTTAAGAATTTGTTTGTTTCTATCTAGAAGCTACAGATAAGTAATTGCTGCTTGGTGTTCTCTTGTTTTAAATCTGATAATGACAATGAAGAGTGATAGCTAACCAAAGACAGAATTAGTGCTTTCTCTAAATCTTCATTTCCTTGTCTTTGGAGAATAGAAATAGCATGTTCCATGAAAATTGAATCACATGGTAATGTGATAGGTCCATCACTTGACAGTCCGAACTCTTCTTCTGCCATTCTAAAGAGCTCTGTGAGTATCTCACTTTTGAGATACGTCAAGGGAATCATGAACCGTCTTCCATCTGTTGTGTAGATGACAAAGTGACCCTTATTGGCTACTTTTGTTCTCTGCCAGGAGATCCTTCTTCTGCTGTCTGCTGCTAGCTTCTGCCACTTTCTTGCCATTTCGAGGAGTTTCTTAGTACTAATCATGATTTTGAATCTTAAGAAATATACAGGACTTTTGGGATTTAAGAAATTGGATAAGAATTGGTCTGTGTTGGTATTTTTGGTTTAAGGAAATTACAAAAGGCAAGGTTTTTATAGCCCCTAGCCAAAGATTATGACCTCTATCGTGTCATTTGCAAAGTCTTGGTAGCCAAACCATGTGGATGTTGGACCCAGGAACTTGTCCAAGCAGGTGGGCATGTCTAGATTATTTGTTTGCCCTGAAGCCAATATTTTGGTGAGTAGTTTCATAAAGTTTCTAACCTGTGGTGGCCAAAAGAGCCTCTAGATTGTGGATTTCTTGAGATTGCCGAGAACAAGTATGCATTTGTGCTGGACAAGAAATATTTAAGTTTGTCCGATCTGAAATTGTTATCTCCTGTCTTTGTTAACTTGTTAAGTGACCAAAAAAACAACTGCAACCAAGTTGTCGCAATTATGAGTCGATTAAAGGTTAATCTATCTAGTGGTGGGAAGTAAATGTTTATGTAGCAAAAATAGTATTGCTAACCTGACAGAATCCAAACTAGGTGTAAAAGATGGTGAAAGAGCCTTCTCTTGTGGGATCATATTGTTAGACTTAGAATTTTGATGTGATTTTAAAAATTAGTGCATAGTATTATCACACAGAAGGTTTATTATTGTGATGGATAACTCTGAAATAGGAGTGAAATGGGTTGAATGATAAAAAAATATGGTGTATAAGCATGATGATTGGTGCAACCCTATGTCCTTATAAACGTATGCTCTTTTCTAAGAATATCTGAATATTCTATTTTTCCACTCTGCGCACCTAAGACATTGATGATGCCATTGGTCTTCCTTGAAGGCTTGAAACATAAGACATCAAACTTAAGTTTATTGTTGAGGAAGCAAGTTATATTGATGCTATCTTCTCTTGGTTTAGCATGAAAGACTTATCTTCACCTTTTGTTTTGAAGTGCCTGCAGCATTGCTTGGATGATATATCAACATAATATCGTTGGTAAAGATTTAGCGTGAATGAATTACTAATGTATTGAGCAAAACTAATGGAATGAGATGATTATGCTAGAGTATATACAAAGATAGTTTCTGATTATTGAAAGAGAATAGGCTCTTGAATGAAATTTTGGGTCTCTTGATTTGAAAATTGGGTATAGGCTGGCTAATTTCTTCTCAAATTCATTTTACTGTTAAATTCTGCTTGTGGTTCTTTTTACCCCCCCTTCTGGCTACTAATGGACATTCAATTTTAAATTTAATGGAGTTTCTCTTGTAAATTCCTATATTTTTTCTTCTTTTTTTTTTTTTTTTTTTTTTCCTTTTGTTTTGCTACTTTGTACTCTTTTTGACTGGCCTTTTACTCCTGTATGTGATAGTTTGTTTTTATGGTAGGATTTTTTTTTTATTTTTTTATTTTTTATTTATTTTTACTTTGCAATCAAGAATTTATTTCTTTTTCAATAGGTTGATTCTACTATAGGGAGAGGCAAAAGTGACAAACACAAGAAAATGTTATCCAAAGGCTAACTATTTGATTATGAACAAAAATTTCTGTTACATCTGTATTGTATTCTAAACACTAATCATAGACTATTCAGGAAATTGTAATAATTTCCCTCGTGCCTTCCTAGAAGCTAGAGATTAAAAATTGATTATTGTTGTATCCTTGCTGCATATTTGATGATGATGATGAGGAGCGGCAACTGTCCAAGGACATGATAACTGCTCTCACCAAATCCTCATTTGCATGTCTTTGGAGAATAGACATGGCATATTCCATAAAAGTCGAATCACAAGGTAATGTTAGAGGCCCTTCACTTATGAGTCCAAACTCCTCTTCTGCCATCTTAAGCAGCTCTCTAACTATCTCACTCTGAAGATATACCAAGGGAATCATAAACCGTCTTCCATCTGTTGTATATATTACAAAATGACCCTTGGCCACTGCTGGTTTTGGCCATGAAATCCTTCGTCTGCTGGCTGCTGCTAGTTTCTTCCATTTTCTTGCCATGGTGATGAGCTTCTTTGTACTAATCATGTTTTAGATCTTGAGAAAATTAGAGGTGGATTGAAATATGGAGTTTAAGGATGTAGAAAACTAGAAACGGATGAGGAAGTTTGTATTTGATTTGAGGAAACTATGAGAAGTGCGCGAGCTTTTATAGCTCCAACCCAAAGACATACGGCTCTATTGTTTCTTGTAACATGCTAATTCTTGATTACAAAAGCATGTAGAGATGGGTCCATACCACTCTTTCAAGCAGGTGGTTATGTCTTGCTTTAGCTTATTACCCTTAAGAGTAGTTTCCATCAAGTTTCTAATCCATGTAGGCCAAATAATATTACCTTGTACTGATTAAAGCATTAGTACGTTTTAGTGCTAGCCACTTGTGAGTTATGAATGGTTGTTAGAATTGCAACTCCGTGTCTCTGTCAATTAAGCAGGTGGGTGTGTCTGGATTTAGTTCACTCTGAAGCAAGCATCTGAAGAGCAGTTGTCATCAAGAGTCTAAACCACTTAGGCCATACGGGTCCTTTTTAATTAAATCTTTATTTAGATGGTTGCTTGTTAGCTACTAAATTGTGGTTGTGGATAACTAAAGAGAGTTCAACTTTATCCTCTCTTTATTGAGATTACGTATAAATGATGTCTCCTGTTTTTGTTGTGTGGTGTTTGTTGGAACCTCAAGGGTCCGTAGCTTCACAAGTACATGATAATCGTTGCCAGCTGATCAAGGCCCCTCATGCTGACCTTGAGTCCTAAACCAGAAGTTAGATTCATCAATTTTTTTTTTCTTCCAATAGATGGTGTATTATTTGTTGGGGTAAAGGTTTTATTAAATTATATAACTTCGATTTGATATATTCTAATTATGTGGAAATTTACTTGCTGCAACTGAACATCAGGATATTCAGATTTTAGTTTGATTACATACTTTACTAGATCCTTTAATGTGAAGATGTGTACCCATAGAGAATAATCATCTTGTACAAGTTGTACCATAGTTCATCCTCTGAGAAAACAGGAATTAATCGTTGACTGCCATCCTTAGAAAAGCCACGTGCTTACAGAAACAGAGAGATGATGTATAGGACTGGATAAGCAAATTTCGGATGTGAGGGATATAAAGATAACGAGGTTTGTAAGTGGTAGCATTAGTGAAGACTGAGAACAATACAAACTACTTTGTATATAGTAATTACGTAGGACAATATAGTCAGGCAACTGTAGAGCAATGGCTTCATCTAAGGATGTTTTTTAGTAAATTATGAACACTTTTGCGGTGTTTGGAGGCTTTTGTGAAATGTTTTCCTTATATTGCAACCATTATTTTCTGTCGGCTCTGGTTTCAGTTTAAAGTAAAATATCAGGAGCACATTTGAATATCTTGATTGTAAGCTACCTTTCGTGAGACCATGTCAGGAATGCTGTGTACTGGAGTCACTAATGTCCTGTATGTTCAGTTGACATTGTTAAGGTTGTATTTTGGATGCATTTTTTCAAGACATGTGATTAGTTTTTTTTTTTTCTTCCGGGAGAAGCAGAGGGTTGGGGGTAAGAATTAGCAACAAAAAACAAATAGAGATGTTTCAAAAGCAATAGTATGTTAAACAGAATCCTCTTTACATCTAATTAACATCTAGGTATCTCATTTTTGGTATACAAAATGGCAAAACATATACATTTTGTTCTCCTAACTAGTCTAGAAGCTGTGAATTAATAAATGCTGGCTATTCTGCTGTTGCTGTAAACACGACAATGATGTTGAGTGGCAGGTATTACTCAAGGACAAGATCAGTGCTTTCTCAAAATCCTTGGCTGTATGTCTTTGGAGAATAGAGATGGCGTACTTCATGAAAGTAGAATCACATGGTAATGTAATATGCCCATCACTTAATCCAAACTCTTCTTCTGCCATTTGAAAGAGCTGTGTAACAAAATCGCTCTTGAGAAACGATAAGGGAATCATAAATCTTTCACCATCTATTGTGTAAACGATGAAATGACCCTTATCCGCAACTTTTGATGCTGGCCATGATATTCTCTTTCTGCTAGCTGCGGCTAGCTTTTGCCACTTTCTTGCCATTTTTATCAGTTTCTTTGAACTGATCATGTTTTCTGAAGTTTGAAAGACCGAGAGTGTGAGATTGAATTATGAATTAGAAGGAGGTAGATACTTGGACAAGTAGTTTGGTTTGAGGGATTTTTGAGAAGTAGCAAGGCTTTATAGCTCTTAGCAAATGACATGATTTTAATGGTGCTTGTATTTTTTTGGAAGCAAGACCACGTGGATGTTGGTCCTAGAAATCCTGTTAAGCAGGTGGGCATGTTGGATTTGGTTTTGCTTGAACTCCCTTGTGAGATACTATTAAGCTGTTGTGAGTTGGCATATTAAACCCCAAAGTGTAGGTAAGTTGGAAATTCCTTGAGAGCCACATAAGTAAATTGTTTTGACAAAACAAAGATAGCCTGTAGATTTTCCCGTCCCCCACCCCCCCTCTCCCCACCCTCTCGTCAGGTCGTGCTTGCAATCTTGCTTGGATTCTTTTTGCAACTGTACTGCAATGTAGGCCATTGTATTGATAGTCATGACTCTAGACTAGCAAGTTAACATCGTAAATATGATAAGTGCAGAGTAGAGAAATTTGGAAGTCATTCTTTTCTACGACTGTCCTTGTTTGGTGATCCTTATAGCAACTATTGATTACTGCCTCTTGTCAGCAAACCTTCTTGATGGCTTGTTCTGCCCATTTGCCAAACTGAAGCTCATCACGTCCGTACTATGCTTTAAACCTGCTTCTCATAAGTTGATCATCATTTAAGGATCCGTTGCTCTTAAACTGGTAAATCTTTACACCTGTTTCGTCCAATCTTCCTCATTCAATACTTACAAGAATACTAGTCATCCTATTCTACCCAGATGTTTTGCTGCTCTTGGTTCTTCCTTGTCTTGTTATGACAAGCTGCTGTTTTCATTGTTACTTAATGTTTTTGTTTGGTGATTAAAATTAAGGGAAGAATGATGTAGAAATAACCCTCATCTCCCAAGGTTAACATAAAAAATCATAGCAGCAAAGAGTGTATTAATCTCATCCCCCTCCAAATTGACAGTAGACGAACAATTATACAAATCTGCTATCATAAGTAGAGCTGTCAATTCGGGTAAACGGGTTGGGTTTTGATCGGGTAAAGAGTGAGTCGGGTCAACTTGGGTCGGGTCAATTCAGATTAATAATATAACTTATGCGGGTCGGGTTTGGGTTGGGTCATGCTTGAGTCGGGTCACGTCGGGTCATGCTTCTTATCGGGTTTGGGCCAGGTTAATAACAGGTCGGGTTACATTCGAGTCGGGTGAACAATAGGTCGGGTTTTCACGGGTTCAAATGGGTTAGGGTAATTCTCGGGTTCGAGTCGGGTTCGGTTCAAGTCAATAATTTGCCGGTTAGAATCAGGTCGGGTCAATCTCGGGTTTGAGTCGGGTTCGATTCAAGTCAATAATTTGCGGATTATAATCAGGTCGGGTCATTTTCTAGTCGAGTCATTCTCGGGTTCAAGACAATAATTTACGGGTTATAATCAGGATGGGTCATTTCCAAGTCGGGTCATTCTCGGATTCAAGTCGGGTTATGTTCAAGTCATTAATTTGCAGGTTACAATCAGGTCGGATCATTTCCAAGTCAGTTCATATTCAGGTTCAACTAACTATAAATAGATAATTATCATTTTTATCAAGCTAATTATTTCTTTTGACTATAATATATATGGCAATATACTAGGGAATTATAGTCTACAATTTAGGAAGATAATTATCTCCTTTGACCATACAACAAATATGTACTATATTTACCTCTTAAATTTGAGAATGATGCTCCTTTCTTTTGCTGGTGAGAACCGACTTGGTCCCCCAAGACAAAATGCTTTGATCAACAATAATAAGGTGGTCTAAATTGCATTTAAGTTGATTTGAAATCGGGTCAGGAACAATTTGGGTTGAATTTAGGTCGGGTCCATAATAGGGGTGTTAAAAAATACCCGACCCAGTTGACTCGACCCGTTGACCCGCTTACCCGACAGATTTTAGCGGTTAATTTTGTTGTTTTTTTCAAAATTAGCAGGTCGGGTACCCGACCCAGTAAAACTGAGATTTAGCGGGTCGGGTCATTGGCCGCCCTTTTGTGTTTGACGGGTACCCGCTGACCCGCTAAGCTTTTTTTTTATTTTTTTATATATAATATATATATATATTGCTAGGAAATTTGGGTTTTATGCACAGTCGTCACTCACTCTCTCTCCTTCAAGCACCCACCTTTCTCTCTCCTTTAAGCAGCACCCACCTCTCTTTCTCTCCTTCAAGCACCCACCTCTCTCTCTCTCCTTCATTCATCTTTCTCTCTCCTTCATTCACCTATTGCAAATAAACAATTTCATTGCAAACATCAAGAGCAAAGCCTTCATCAACCCAAAAAATCGAACCACTGCACGCATCGTCGGAGATAGGCTTGCTGGAAACCGCGCGGCCGAGCTTTAGTTGCTGGAAATAGTCCGAGATAAGCCATAGCCGAGCTTTAGTTGTGGACTTGCGGGCCTATTCATCCTCCAAGAAAGATCCTTGTCAAGTTCAATTTGATAATTTAACTCTTATTAATGTTAGAAATCTTATGATTTCTCTAATATTTTGCTCAAATTTGCTAAGATCCAATTGACATAAATTCTCAGTGATTCTTCATTTGTGAATGTTTAAGGTGTTTTGTCTATTTTATCTGTATAAGAAGTATATTATTTGTGGTTGTATGCTTGTATCTAAATTTTATGTTCTCAATTTCTTTTAATTCCTTAGTTGAATCTTAATTATCTTCAATTTGTGTACAAGAGTATTTTTTTTTAATGCTTTCAAATGCAAACATTAAACTTTATTTATTTAATTTTTTTTTTTACTTTTATTCGAGTACCCTTCGACCCGACCCGGGAATTTCTGGTACCCATTAACCGGGTACCCAGATTTCTCGGGTCGGGTCATGGGCCGAGTATTTGACTACCCAAGACCTTGGGTACTCGCATTTCCGGGTACCCGAAATCCCGGGTACCTGGATTTGAACACCCTTAGTCAATAACAAGTCATGTTAATTTCGAGTCAGGTTAGTAACAAATCGGGTTGAATTTTTGGGTTGGGTAAGTAATAGGTATGGTAAAATTCGGGTCAGGTCAATAACAAGTCAGGTTGAATTTGGATCAGTTTAATAACAAGTCGGGTCGATTTCGAGTCGAGTTTGTAACAGGCTGGGTTAAATTAGGGTCGGGTCGAATTCAGGCCAGGTTCGTAACAAGTCGAGTAAAATTTGGATTTTGACGGGTTAAATCGGGTTTTGGTCAATTTCGGTTCAAGTTGGGTTCGGTGCAAGTTAATTTAATTGGCCGTTGTAAACCGGCAAATCGGTGCAAGTTGTAAGTCGGTAAATTGGTCGTTTTAAAAGCAAATTGAATGGTTCCACACACTCAATTTGACTCTCGGAGAGTATTAGCGACCATGGTAAACATTTCTGCAATTTTTATTTCCGGGCGAAAAAAAAGTAAAAAAATTCCGAAATTGAAGGCTATTATCCACGTTTTTTGAGAAATTTTGGAGGTTTCGGGCCCCTGTATCGAAAAGGTTTGAAATTCTAGGGAATAACTCTCGGGGTCATATAATGTCGTTTGGAACCATATATGATCATTATTTGTTGTCATAAATGTTCGAGGTAGACTTAGTTAATGAAATCAGTGCAAGTTAAAAACCTGTAAATTGGTCGTTTAAAGCCAAATTGGATGTTTCGAGGCTCGGTTTTGAAAAGTTTTGAGATTTAAGGGTATACATCTCGAGGTCATATAATGTCGTTTGGAACCATATATGATTATTATATGATGTCATAAATGTTCGTAGTAGGGTTAAGTTAATTTAATCGGTGCAAGTTGTAAACCAGTAAATTGACCGTTTAAAGACAAATAGAATTGTTTCACCCTCCCAATTGGAATCCTGGAGGGTTTTAGGGACCATGGTAAACATTTTGGCCATTTTTATTTCTGGCCGAAGAAAAGTAAAAAAATTTTAAAATTGAAGGCTAATATACACGTTTTTTGAGAAAACTTTGAGGTTTTTGGGCCCGACGTCGAAAAGTCTTTAGATATTAGGGGATACATCTCAGGGTCATGTAATGTCGTTTGGAACCATAAATAATCATTATATGTTGTTATAAATGTTCGAGGCAGGCTTGAGTTAATCAAATCATTACATGTTGTAAATCGGTAATTTGGCCGTTTAAAGGCAAATTGGATAATTCCACTAAGCCAATTGGGCTCCCAGAGGGTATTAGGGACCAAGGTAGATATTTTTGACAATTTTATTTTCGGGCGAAAAAAGTAAAAAAATTCCAAAATTAAAGGCTAATATCCACGGTTTTTGAGAAATTTTTGAGGTTTCGGGGCCCGGTGCCAAAAAGGCTTAAGATTTTAGGGTATACATCTTGGTGTCATATAATGGCGTTTGGAACCATATATGATCATAATATGTTATCTTAAATGTTCGTGGTAGGCTTGAATCAATGAAATTGGTGCAAGTTTTAAATCGGTAAATTGACCGTTTAAAGGACAAATTGGATGATTCCACCTAACTATTTGGACTCCTAAAGGGTATTAGAGACCATTGTAAACATTTCGGCAATTTTTATTTCCGGACAAAAAAAAGTCGCAAAATTTCAAAATTGAAGGCTAATATCCACACTTTTTAAGAAATTTTGGAGGTTTTGGGTCCTAGTGTTGAAAAGTCTTGAAATTCTGTGGGATATATCTCTGGGTCATTTAATGCCGTTTGGAACCATATATGACCATTATTTGTTGTTATAAATGTTTGTATTAGGCTTGAGTTAATGAAATTTGTGCAAGTTATAAACTTGTAAACTGGTCGTTTAAAGCCAAATTGGATGGTTCCACCCACTCAATTGGATTTCTGGCTGGTATTAACGATCATGGTAAACATTTCAGCAATTTTTATTTTCGGGCGAAAAAAGTAAAAAATTCCAAAATTGAAATCCTCGCTTTTTGAGAAATTTGAGTTGTTTCGAGGTCCGGTGTCGAAAAGTTTTGAGATTGAAGGGGATACATCTCACGGTCATATAATGCCGTTTGGAATCATATATGATCATTATATGTTGTTATTAATGTTCGTAGTAAGCTTGAGTTAATTAAATTAGTGCAAGTTGTACACCGTTTAATTGGCCGTTTAAAGGCAAATAGAATGGTTCTACACACCCAATTGGACTTCCGGAGGGTATTAGGGAGTATGGTAAACATTTTGGCAATTTTAATTTCTGGGCGATAAAAAGAATAAAAATTCCGAAATTGAAGGCTAATATCCATGTTTTTTGAGAATTTTCGAAGGTTCGAAATGAAATGAGATTTTAGGGGATACATCTGGGGGTTATATAATGCCGTTTGAAACTATATATGATTAATATATATTGTCATAAATGTTCGTGATAGGCTTGATTTAATGAAATCGGTGCAAGTTGTAAATCGGTAAACTAGTCGTTTAAAAGCAAATTACTTGGTTCCACTCACCCAATTGGACTCCCGGAGGGAATTAGGGACCACGGTAAAAATTTCGGCAAATTTTTTTTTTTTTTTTTTTTTTTTTTTTTTTTTTTTTTTCCGGGTGAAAAAAAGTTTAAAAATTCCAAAATTGAAATCTATGCTTTTTGGGAAATTTGGGATTTTTCGAGGCTCGGTGTCGAAAAGTTTTGAGATTTAAGGGAATACATCTCAAGGTTATATAACGTCGTTTGGAACCATATATAATCATTATATGTTGTCATAAATGTTCGTAGTAGGCTTAAGTTAATTTAATCGGTGCAAGCTGTAAACCGGTAAATTGACTCTTTAAAGGTAAATAGGATGGTTCAACCCACCGAATTGGACTTCCGGAGGATATTAGGGACCATGGTAAACATTTAGGCAATTTTCATTTCCGAGAAAAAAAAGTAAAATTATTTCAAAATTAAAGGCTAATATCCAAGCTTTTTGAGAAATTTTTGCGGTTTTGGGGTCCGGTGTCGAAAAGCCTTTAGATTTTAAGGGATACATCTCGGGTTGATATAATGTTGTTTGGAACCATATATGATCATTATATGTTGTCATAAATGTGTGTTGTAGGCTTGAGTTAATGAAATCGGCGCAAGTTATAAACTGGTAAATTGGTCGTTTAAAGGCAAACTGGATGGTTCCACCCACCCAATTGGATTCCGGGAGTGTATTTGAGACCATGGTAAACATTTCGGCAATTTTTATTTTTGGAAAAAAAAAGTCAAAAAATTCAAAAATTGAAGGCTATATCCACGCTTTTTGAGAATTTTTGGAGTTTTCGAGGCCTAGTGTCGAAAAGTCTTGAAATTTTAGGGGATACATCTCGGGGTCAGAGAATGCTATTTGGAACCATATATGATCATTATTTGTTGTCATAAATGTTCGTGGTAGGCTTGAATTATTGAAATCGGTGCAAGTTGTAAACCGGTAAATTGGTTGTTTTAAATGCAAATTGGATGGTTCCACCCACCCAATGGGACTCCCGAACGGTATTAGGGATCATGGTAAACATTTCGGCATTTTTATTTTCGGACGAAAAAAAATCAAAAATTTCCAAAATTGAAGGCTAACATCCATGCTTTTTGAGAAATTTCTAATGATTCGGGGCCCGGTGCCGAAAAACATTGAGATTTAACGGGATACATCTCGGGGTCATATAATGCCGTTTGGATCCATATATGATCATTATATGTTGTCATAAGTGTTTGTGGTTAGTTTAAGTTAATGAAAATGGTACAAATTGTAAACCGGTAAATTGGTCGTTTAAAGGAAAATTGGATGGTTCCACCCAGCCAATTGGACTCCGGAGGATATTAGGGACCATTGTAAACGTTTTGGAAATTTTTATATACGAGTGAAAAAAAGTTAAAAAATTCCAAAATTGAAGGTTAATATCAACGTCTTTTGAGAAATTTTGGTGGTTTCGGGTAGAACTTTCAATTCGGGTAAACGGGTCGGGTTTGGGTCGGGTCAACTCGGGTTGGGTCAATTCGGATTAATTCCATAACCTGTGCCAGTCGGGTTTGGGTTGGGTCATGCTTGAGTCGTGTCACGTCGGGTCATACTTCTTTTGGTTTTGGGTCGGGTTAATAACAGGTCGGGTTACATTTGGGTCGGGTGAACAATAGGTCGGGTTTAATTTTGGTTAAAACGGGTTAGGGTAATTCTCGGGTTCGATTCGAGTTCGGTTCAAGTCAATAATTTGCGGGTTAGAATCAGGTTGGGTCATTCTCGGGTTTGAGTCAGGTTCGGTTCAAGTTAATAATTTGCGGGTCATAATTAGGTTGGGTCATGCTCGGGTTCAAATCATTAATTTGCGGGTTACAATCAGGTTGGGTCATTTCTAAGTCGGGTCATTCTCGGTGTTAAGTCGGGTTATGTTCAAGTCAATAATTTGCAGGTTAGATAATGAGGTAGGGTCATTTCCAAGTCAGGTCATATTCGAGTTCAACCAACTATAAATAGATAATTATCATTTTTATCAAGCTAATTATTTTCTTTGACTATAATATATATGACAATATACTAGGGAACTATAGTTTATAATTTAGGAAGATAATTATCTCCTTTGACCATACAACAAATATATACTATATTTAACTCTTAAATTTGAGGTTGAATTTAGGTCGGGTCAATAACAAATCGTGTTGATTTCGAGTCGGGTTAGTAACAGATCGGGTTGAATTTTTGGTCGGGTTAGTAATAGGTCTGGTAAAATTCGGGTCTAGTCAATAACAAGTCGGGTTGAATTTGGGTCAGGTCAATAACAAGTCAGGTTGGGTTAAATTTGGGTCGGGTTAGGAGCGGGTCGGGTTGAATTCAGGTTAGGTTAGTAACAAGTCGGGTTAAATTCGGGTTTTGACGGGTTAAAACGGGTTTGGTTTAATTTTGGTTCAAGTCGGGTTCGGTTCATGTCAATAATTTACGAGTTACATTCGGGTCGGGTCATCTCCAGGTCAGTTCATATTCGGGTTCGGGTCTTACATACTCGAGTCAACTTGTGTCTAGGGTTGGTTTCAAGTCGGGTCAGGTCGGGTTTGGGTCACCATTTTTTCGGGTTCAGATGGGTCGGTTAATAATCGGGTTTGAGTCGATATTTCGGGTCGGGTTAACTTTTGACAGCTCTAATCATAAGTATACTATCATAGCGGGTGAGATGTGAGAGCATAATACCATCGATTATTAAAGTTCAAAGTTGGCTAGCTGGATGGGTAACTATTACTCTGATAGAGTCTGGTCTGCCTGTAAGTTCTAAGACTGAGCTTATACTTCAGTAAGTAGTAGATGTCATTTTTTATGTAGTCTGATTATAGTATACATGTTCTATTAACTGCTTCTATGCAAGGTCACAACTCAAATCTTTATGTCCTTGCTACTCTACTGCTGTTAACTATAATGAACTGAAGGGATTGCTTGAAAGTTTGTTTGTAATAACTTATAAAAGTTTAATTCAGTTCACCACTTCAATTTCTTTCAAACTTCCTTTTATTCCAGATATTTTTTGGTCTCTTCTGATTAAAATTTTAGCCTATTCCATTCTGTGTTAATCAATGACAGTTCCTGTAATAAGGTAAACAAGAACAAATTGCTAATATTGCGAGACTTGTTTTTAATAATATCCGCAGGAAGTTCCATAAACTCTATCTAGGTATAATTACATAGTATTGTCCTATACAAAAAAAGGAGAAAGGAAATTGTCTTAATTAGAAACTACTGACAAGCAATTGTTGTGTGGTTTGTGTTTGATGTTCATATGACAATGATGAGTATCTACAGCTTACTAAGGATGTAATAAGTGCCTTCTCCAATTCTTCAGCTGCATGTCGCTGGATCATAGAGATTGCATACTCCATGAAACTCGAATCACAAGGAAGCGTAATTGGTCCTGTACTTGTAACCCCAAACTCTTCCTCTGCCATTCTTAAGAGCTCTCTGAAAATCTCAGTCTTAAGGCATGTCAAGGGTATCATAAACCGCCTACTATCTGTTGTATAGACAACAAAATGGCCTTTATCAGCCAGTGTTCTTGGCCAGGAAATTCTTCTTCTACTAGCGACTGCCATCTTTTGCCACTTTCGTGCCAGTTGAATAAGCTTCTTGGTACTTATCATGTTGTGTTTTCTGTAACAGTGGAAGAGAAAGACCTGGTGTTTCTGAATCAGAAATTATGTAAGGAAGCGCTAATGTCTGGTTGAAGGAAATAAATTCTTTGAAGATGTTGCTGTGCTTGTTGAAGGAATGAGGCTGTATTGGATTTTTATAGCTCCAATCCAAGGGCATATCATTTCTTCAAAAAAACAGAACCATGTGAAACTTCAGGTGGGCATGTTTACTTTGTTTGGCTTAGAGCTATCATTAGAATGATTTGAGAACATGTTGGCCAAGTGTGAACCACTCCATGACTCCATGTAGGCCAATTCTTCCTTTCAACCACTACAATATGGAACATGAAATAGATAATCCAAGACGGAACTTCTCTAAACCACTACAAGGTGGAGCATTATATAGATAATTAAGGAACAAAGTAACATGGATTGCTTGGACTATCATGGCAGTGATGGTGCATACGGCGAAACTTGGCTTTGTTTTCAATATGATAGTAATTAGTATTGTCAATCCTGTGGTTCATGTAGGTGAGCATCGCCAAATGTTTGAAAGGTCAGCTACTAGATCTGGTATTCTGATATGACAGCAGGACTAAAATTCTAGGATTGCAGTACTAATACTTAGTACCGTAGAGTCTGCATACTACCTCATAGTATCCATCTGTGCTGCATTATACTAAGAATTAGCTGGAGCTGAACTTAAGACTAACAATGAATTCATCCTTTTATTATGCTCTCACATCTCACCCGCTATGATAGCAGATTTGTGTTACAGTTAAGATTATGGATAGGTTTTTTCCATTATTTTCTGAAGAGTTCTGATTTCTGAAGTTATATATGCTGGATGACATGTATCACCTATTAACAAACTTTAGTCTTGGTTGTTTGACATCCGGAGATCCAAATGGACTCAAGGGTGAATTTTTATGTTTGAAATATATATATCAACTAATGACCTTTAATTTTCTTTTTTTTTTAATTTAATAATATACTTGCATTTTTCTATACTGATTTTCTGCAAGGTCACAAATAACAAATTTTTTGACTGCATTTGCCTATTGGTTGCTGTAACTTCATATTTTTTTAGGACAGGCTTTCTGTGTCATGTAAGGTGTGCTGAACAATTACTAAATGAAAGCCGCTGTTATAATGTCATGTACTGCTTGATTTGACCTGAACTAGGTCACTGGCTTTACTGTATTGTTAGTTCATTTGTTAAGCCTAGTACTATTTGATGTTCTTGTAATTGGAAACTGCTTTCTTTTTCATTGAATATTTTTTCTTCATTCGACGATTCTATAATAAGCTGACTCAGTCGGATGCCAAATATTTCTATAGAGAATAATTTGTGTCGATTGCTAAGTTTATTAGTAATCAGTATAACATATGTAAATGCTTTTGCATTGCAGTTAGCAGCACAGGAAGGAGGATATATGATGCAGAAATCATCTGTCATTCAGTTCAACTTTACCACTTCAATTTAAACAGTTTCCTTTCCTGTAAGTTTTTGTTTTGTTTTTATTAAGCAATATCATTTCCTTTTTATACCATGAAAAGATAAAGGGACTGTGCTAAACTGACCAGATTGTTTGATTTGAACGCATAAAATTTCTATTAATCTCTCATTAATTTTGTACAACTATTCGTATCTACAAAAAGAGGAAAATTTTCTAGAAACTACAGATAAACAATTGTTGACTGGTTTGTTCTTGTTGGTCATTTGACAAAGATGAGTATCTGCAATTTGCAAAGGACATGATCAATGCCCTCTCCAAGTCCTCAGTCATGTGTCTTTGGATCATGGAGATCGCGTACTCCAAGAAACTCGAGTCACAAGGCAACATGATTGGCCCCGTACTTGACACTCCAAACTCTTCCTCGGCAATTCTAAAGAGCTCTCTGAAAATCTCGTTGTTAAGGTATGCCAAAGGAATTACAAATCGCCTCTTATCACTTGAGTAAACAACAAAATGACCCTTCTCTACCACTGATTTTGACCAAGAAATCCTCCTCCTGCTGGCAGCTGCTAATCTTTGCCATTTCTTTGCCATTTTGATGAGCTTCTTAGTACTGATCATTTTTTTTGGGTATTCTGCTAAAGAATTTTAAGGAGAGAATTTATTGACAGTAAGAAGATTGGAATGTTATGAGAAAATTAGCAGTTTGGTTGAGAAATACTTTGGAGAATGATCAAGTTTTATAGCTCCAAACTAGAGACAATTCATTTTAATGTGGGTCTGCCATGTTTTCATTCTTTTGAAGCAAGTTCATGTGGATATTCATGGCCGTGTCTGGGCTACTTATCTATTTGGCATTCATTCTGACAAATTTCGGAATACGTAGGACCAAAGATGTAATTTGATGATTGATATAAGCCTCTTGACAGCAAATTAATTAGATTATCGACGATATCGTAGTTGAGAGTGGATACTGCTTTGTTTGGGCTCATCATGTATTCACACTACCAAGCACTTACCAAATAATTAAATGCAGATGTTTAGTTGGCATATGCATCAGAGAACAGCACAATTATGCATATTAGATATTGGATGAAAGAAAAAGCAGAACCATTCAAATTATGATTCTATAATCTAATTGGCTGGCTTAGAAGAGGTTCATATTAATTATCAAGAGACATATTTGGGCTACATGATTTTGGATCATCCAAAGCAACAAAAACCTAATCACATGGTTTTGCTTCAAAATATTGAAAACAATGCTGTCACCAATGAAGTGATTTGTCTTCAGCTTGAAGCTATAAATCTGCCCATTCCCTCAACTCTTTCCAACCAACTCAATTGCTTAATACTTCATACTCATCTATTTCCTCATCTTTGAAAAAAAAATCTCTTCTTACACTCAAAAAAAAAAAATCTCAATATGATTAGTACAAAGAAGCTCCTCAAGATGGCAAGAAAGTGGCAAAAGATAGCAGCTGCCAGCAGGAAGAGGATCTCCTGGCCGAAACCACTGGCTGATGAGGGTCACTTTGTTGTCTACACAACAGATGGAAAACGATTTACCATTCCTTTGGCTTATCTCAAGAGTGAGATTTTCATAGAGCTTTTCAGAATAGCTGAGGAAGAGTTTGGGTTAACAAGTTCAGGGCCAATTACAGTGCCTTGTGATTCGATTTTCATGGAATACATGATTTCTATGATCCAAAGACGTGTAGCTGTAGATTTAGAAAAGGCATTGATCATGTCATTAGGCAGCTGCAGACACTCATCATTGTCACATGAGCATCAAGAACAAACTAAGCCACACATACTTATTTGCAGTTTCTAGAAAAATTATGTCCTCTTTCGTATATAATGTAGATTATAGAAAATTATTGTAGGCATGAAACAGAAATTTTTTGTAGAAATTAATGAAAGTTTAGAATGAAATCATTCAAATCAAACAACTTTTCCGTTGTATCAATGTTACCTTCTCTTTTACTTATTCATGTTGCATAATATTGATCAATATGGTCACAAAGGAATAGCCTATGTATATTTTTCTAATTGAAGGGGTCATGTTTCGAATCATGTTGTTGATGAAGTAACATTTAACATAACCAATAGTTCGAGCAACATAAGTAAATTAGATTAACTGTGTATGCATGGTCCAGTAGCTGGGTTTACAGGAATGTATATAGGACATTTGCATGTTGGATAATAATATTTCAAGTACTTGTCACATGCTTTGGTTCAATTTGAACCCTACTTACAGCTAAACAAGAAACAATCATAAATGTTGCTATATCTACACTTTTTGGCCACAAAACTTTGTCAAATTCAAGCTGTATGATTTCAAGTTTGTCAAACAATAGGACTATTAAAGATAACCTTAGTGCTATATAAGATCCCGTTTGGTTTGATGTAAAATACTTTCAATGAAAATTAGTTTTCATGAAAAACATATTTTCAAGAAAAAACCACAATTGCAAATTAGTTTTCGTTTGTTTGGTTCCATCAAGAAAAGTTATAGTGAAATTAAAAACAGGGGTGGAAATGTGAGGATGGAGGAGAGGAAAGTAAAAAATGAGGTAAGAATGAGGGAAGGAAAATGTGGTTTCCCTTGTTTCATAAAGGAAAATGTTTTCCACCTTAAAGGATATAATTTTCCAACATTGGGAAAATTGTTTTCCACCCCTTAACAAACCAAACAAAGAAAAATGAGAAAATATGGAAACAATCATTTTCCATATATAAAACTTTTTACATCAAACCAAACAGGGCCTAAAAGTGTTAATATACTTCATAAGTAGAATTTCAAAATAAGATCTGCCAGGGAACCGAGAATGTCATTGCAGGTGAAAAATGCCAACAGATTACCTGAAAGTTTTACAAGCAGATTATTAACTTGATTCAATTTATCTAACTAGTTCATTCACTCTTTCAAAAAAAAAAAAAAAAAAAAAAAAAAATCTAGTTCATTCACCTATTTATGAAGAACAGAAACTCTACAGATATTTGATATTTGGGAAAGAAGTGGTATACACAAATGAGTCCCTAGGTCATTGTAAGTGGGAGATTTATTAGTGAGTTTTTTTCCCCTTCAAGTAAAGCACAAGAGAGTGTCAAGGAAAATTATTGATACATCCCTGGAAGTAGTATTCATTAAAGGTGCTTTTCTTTAAACAATATTCATGTTTTGTACTCTTGCTATATGTACTTCATATTCGCCTAGCTATTGACCCTGTTGGCGTGGATGCCAAATAATTAAGTTGGTAAAGTCTTGGAGATAGTACTCTAGACTTGGAATTTTTTTTTTCAGGTTCTTGTGTATTCTGCAAAAATTATTGCTATTGGCTTGCAATCATCTATAGTAGCTGAGCTGCGTATTTTAATTTTATGTTCTTATTCAAATTATTCTCTCCTCGACGAGGATATGGTATTGATCACTACCTAAAATTGGTTTTCTCAAAATGATATTCCCTTGGATTTACTAGGCAGTTGTTGTTGTCCTTGTTAGAATTTGTTCCATGCACCATAACGAGCCTAAGAAAGAAGGATATTGTCAATGTTAAAACAATGAATTTGAATAACTTATCTAAGAATTCTCATTATCTATCTAGGTAAAAGTGTACATGTTTGTTACAAAATTAATACAGAACAGAATTGGTTTCTAGAAACTACTAATAAGTAATTGTTGATTGCTTTGTTGTTGATGTTGTAACAATGATGAGTATTTGCAGTTAGCCAAGGACATGATCAATGCCTTCTCCAAGTCTTCAGCTACATGTCTTTGAATCATGGAGATTGCATACTCCATTAAGTTTGAATCACAAGGTAGCATAATTGGCCCTGAACTTGCTACTCCAAACTCTTCTTCAGCGATTCTGAAGAGCTCTCTGAAGATCTCACTCTCCAGGTAGTCTAAAGGAATCATAAACCGTTTTTTATCACTGGTGTAAACAACAAAGTGACCCTTATCAGCCACATATCTTGATCTAGAGATCCTCTTTCTGCTGGCAGCGGCTATTTTTTGCCATTTTCTTGCCATTTTGATAAGCTTCTTAGTACTAATCATATTGTTGATTCACAAGTGTAGGAAGGAGAACCGTTTGAAGACGAGAAATGTATTTGGAGGATTTTGATGAGAAACTGAAGAGTTATTGGTTGTGAAATCTTTCGGAAATGATCTAGTTTTTATAGCATCAAGATAAAGACATCACTTTTGACGTGGGACTGCTTGTTTTCGTTCTTCAGATGCAAGTTCATGTGGATATTCAGGTGGGCATGTGTAGTTTACATTACTATTTGGTATTCATTTTGACAGATCTTAGAACATGTTGGCCAAAGTTGTCACTTGATATATGCTGCAAACAAACTGGCTGGCTGGCAATAATGTAGATTATAGAATAATTTTGGGTGAATTTTCATTTGTTTTGGATAAGTTGATTCATACGAAGTATTTGTGGCATAGCCTCTAGTAGATTTCTGTGGGAAAATAGGTCTATTTGACACCCAAAGCATTTTGAATACCCTATTGTCGTGGCTGTGGGAATTTGTCTGATAATTCGACCCATTGATATGCTGCTGTAAATAGTTGTAAATATAAAATCTAAAAGGGATGTATACTTTGAGCTAACCAAGCAAAGATGTTGAGCTTACTCATATTCTAGCTGGCATGGACTTATTATGAATATTTGGTGAAACTTGTCTTTGTTTTATGCAATTTAATGGTGCATAAACTTTTTATTCATAATTGTATAGAACTTGAGCTGAGCCTGCTATGTGATAGGAACTGTAAAATTATATAAAATTCCCTATCATATTTTTAGGTTTTTTTTTTCTTTTTCCTGTGGTGTAGTGTGTAGATAGGGTGGTTCAACTCAAAGCACAAGCATGTGCATGTTATAAATTAAAGTCATTCAATTATGGAAAATGCAAATGTCTTTTTATGTTGTCTATTAATCCTTGGGTAGGTCATACCTATGTTGCTTGAATTCTTCTTCTTCTCTTTTTTTTTCTTTTTTTTTTTTTCATGCAAGTTAGTATGACCACCATGAGGATATGCATTTTTCTGTGACCCTTCTAATAGATTGAAAATATACTTTGTGTAAATTTCCTACAATTGTCGGATAATTTCTGTTAAATGCCACAATGAAGTGAAGGGGGGAAATTAATCCCTTGGCAAAACTGTTAAAATTGAACAATTTTTCTGGATCTTCATCACCTTTAATTTCTAAGAATAATTGTAGTATTAGTATATGTTTTGTACATTAAGGGAAACAGATCAAAAATTTATTCCCCTAGAAACTACATACATACAACTGTGGATTAGTTTGTTCTCGACATATATGTGACTGTGATGAGTAACTGCAGTTAGCTAAGGACATGATTACTGCATTCTTCAAGTCGTCTGCTACACATCTTTGAATCATAGAGATTGCATACTCCATAAATTTTGAATCACAAGGCAGTGTAATTGGCCCCGAACTTGTAACTCCAAACTCTTCCTCGGCTATTCTGAGGAGCTCTATGAAAAGCTCGCTCTTCAAATATGTTAAAGGAATCATAAATCGTCTACCATCAATTGTGTAGACTACGAAATGACCCTCATTAGCCACTTGTCGTGGCCAGGAGATCCTCTTCCTGCTAGCGGCTGCTATTTTTTGCCACTTTTTTGCCATCTTGATAAGCTTCTTTGTGCTGATCATGTTTGGAATTTTGAGAAGAAAATGAGAGAATTTTCGAAGATGAGAAGGTTTTGAAATCTAATTAAACAAGGAATTTAGCAGTTCTTAGTTGGGATGAGTTATGGAAATGGTTAGGTTTTATAGCTTCAACTTGTAGATATTTTAAATTATTGGTGGCTAGACTTGTTCTCATAATTTGGATGCTAAACCATGTGGCTATGGTCTTGTTGCTTTGAATTATCTGCTTATCTCAAAACATGTAGTCCAAAGATGTCTCATGATATTATTGATGTAAGCCTCTCCAGCCACTCGATTAAATTTTTAGTGTGTTTAGATTGGTGGTTGTACAAATGTACACTGTTGCCTCTTTTTTTTTTTCCTCTGTTATCTTCAATTGCTTTGTATATTATACTCCCTCTACGACTTTGTCCCCAAATAAAAATTGTCGAGTGGGGTTTGGTTGATTAAAGGTAATTTTGTTTTAGTGATAATAATAAAAATAAAAAAAAAAAAAAAAAAGAAGGTAGAGGGGTTTAGTTGATTAAAAGTGAGTAAATAAGTTGATAAAAGTTGAAATGAGACTTTTCCTCAAAAAAAAAAAAAAAAGTTGAAATGAGACTTTTATTTAGAGACAAGGGTGAAGTGAGACTTTTATTTGGGGGACGATATCTAATTAATCTGCATGGTTGTAGTGTACCAGGCATTGATCTATTTATTCCATATAAGATACACTGCAAACCTACGAAACTGAGATTACTTCTGTTATATATCATAATGTAAAGCTATATCTGACATGGAATGAGGGCTGCTGCTGTTATACTTCATGTCAACATATATGCTGATTGTGTTATTCATATGCACCTGATTTCTTCTGATTATGAAATGTACAATAGATCTACCAGCTGTTCTGTAAATTCGAGTAGTAGGTCTTTGTGCAAGAATGAATTTAAGACATGAAATTTATATTACTGCGAGATAAATGCCATTTATATCCCTTAAGGAAAAGGATTTTGTTGATTGTTTGGTATCATTCTTGATTGAAGATCAACTCTCATGTATATGCCGCATGGTTAATGATTAAAACATAGCGCATCTGCCACAATATTTTTATTAGACAGTAAATTCTCATTTTGTTCATATTTACTGCATTAAAACCTCCTTTCCTGTAAGTTCTTATCTGTTGCTTTCTTTTAGGTATGATATTATTGATCATTGCAGTTACCATGTGCCTGGATAAAATGTTGCTAAATAATTAAACTGTTTGATATGAAATTTTGCTAGATATTTCATTAACTTTCTCTTGGTAAATTTGTACAACTGTATACTTTCTACAAAAAAAAAAAAAAAAAGCTAGGAAATGTGTCTAAAAACTACAGATGAACAATTGTTGATTAGTTTGTACTTGATAATTATTTGACAATGATGAGTGTCTACAGGTGGCTAAGGACATGATTAATGCCTTCTCCAAGTCTTCTGCAACATTCCTTTGAATCATGGAGATTGCGTACTCCATGAAAATTGAATCACACGGCAACATAATTGGCCCTGAACTTACTACTCCAAACTCTTCCTCTGCCATTTTTAGGAGCTCTGTGAATATCTCGCTCTTGAGGTATGTCAGAGGAATCATGAACCGTTTTTCATCGCTTGTATAGACGACAAAGTGACCCTTTTCAGTCACTTGTCTTGACCAGGAAATTCTTCTTCTCCTTGCAGCTGTTAGTTTTTGCCACTTCCTCACCATTTTAATGAGCTTCTTAGTACTGATCATACTGAGGGGTTTTTTAAGTAAAGAAAGTATGAAGTTTTTTAAAGATGAGAAATTGATTTGAATTGTAATGAAGGATTAAGTTGTGTTTAGTTGAGAATGCTTTCAGAAAATGATCAAGTTTTATAGCTCCAACCTGAAGACATATCACTTCATCATTATCAGCCTTGTTTTCATTCTTTTGAAGCAGTCATGTGGATATTCAGGTGGCCTTGTCTGGTATACTTTTCTTCAGACAACTCTATATTATATGACTGAGCTAAGAACATATAGGCCAAACATGTTGCTTGATAATTGAAAAGAGTCTCTTGGCAACCACTAATTTGATTATACTGTAAACAACCTTCTTCAATACTTTCCATGTACTCGCCAACTAATTAAATGCAGATGTTTGGGCCTCCGTATGCATCAGAGGACAACATTATTATGCAGATTGATTGAGTGGTTGAGCACTTGAGAAGAGGCTCATATAAATTATCAAGAGATATCTTTGGGCTACATTGTTTTGGGGTCACCCGATGCAACACAAACTTTATAACCGCGTGGTTCTGTTTCCAACTGTTGAGAACAAGGCTGTCATCAATGAAGTTATCTGTCATCAGTTTGAAGCTATAAAACTTGAGCATTTCCTCAGCTCTTTCCAACAAGTAAACAACTATATCTTCAATCTCCTTGATAATAATATTTTCTCATAAAAAAAATTCTCTCTTTCCACCACTCTTAAAACCCACAACATGATCAGCACAAAGAAGCTTCTCAAGATGGCTAGAAAATGGCGAAGGATAGCAGCTGCCAGCAGGAAGAGGATCTCTTGGCCGCAACTAATGGCTAATGAGGGTCATTTTGTTGTCTACACAGCAGATGGAAAAAGGTTTATGATACCTTTGACATATCTCAAGAGTGAGATATTCATAGAGCTCTTCAGAATAGCCGAGGAAGAGTATGGAGTAACAAGTTCAGGGCCAATTAGGCTGCCATGTGATTCGAAATTTATGGAATACACCATCTCTATGGTCCAAAGATTTGTAGCCAAGGAATTGGAGAAAGCATTAATTACATCCTTAGTTAGCTGCAAATACTCATTGTCACATGAACATCAAGAACAAACTAACCCACAAATGTCTGTATGTAGTTTCTAGAAAAAATTTGTTTCCTCTTTTTTTATTTGTTGAACATATACATAGTGTAAATTTACTTAGAAAGTTGATGAAAATAGTTCAGAGAAAATTCTTTTGATCCAAACAGTTTTCCTATTGCAATCATATGCCCTTCTCTATATTTTACTTAAATTGTACATGGTATAAACTACAAATGATCAGTATTCACAAAGAAATATCCTGCAATTTGTTTTTCAGAGAGCTTCGTGTGTTCTGATCTAATTTGAAGGACTGAAACAATTTATCAACTGAAAGAACATCCTTGGTACAGCAATGATCATGATTGTTTACATCTAAATTACCCAGGTAATAAAGGGTGTATACATTAGGACATATTGCAAAAAGATAAAATCGCCTTCCATTGTAAAAAAATTGTATGTCTTGTTTGAAGAATTTGCCATCTTGAGAAGGGTGCTAATGCTGATTTTACAAAGGTCTTATAAGGTGAAACCAAAGACTTGGGACTAAATCTCGTCTCAGTTTCATCCCTTTGTAGAGCTTATGTCTTGTATAAACATAGGTAAGTAATTCTGATTTCTTTCTAATTTAAGCTACTTGTTAATTATCAGTATATGCTTATGACCATTGGACCTTTAGAAGTAGTTAACCAAAACTACAAGAGAATGTAGGCTATTCCTTTGTTGATCATTTGCAATTAAAAGTTTTAAACCATGCTCTATGAAGTGAAGAGGTACAGGAGAATTTAAGGGCAGATCGTTAGGAAAGTGGAACAATTAATATGAAATAATACAAGAATTTGTATTATCTGTTCAGGCAAAATTGTATTGTACATATCTGCTACCAAAATTAAAAAATAAAAATAAAAAATTCTAGAAACTGCAGATAAGCAATTGTTGACTAATATGTTGTTGATTCTCATGTGACAATGATGGGTATCTGCAATTATCTAAGGACATGATCAATGCCTTCTCTAAGTCCTCAGCTACATGTCTTTGGATCATAGAGATCGCGTACTCCATGAAAACTGAATCACAAGGCAGCATGATTGGCCCTGAACTTGACACTCCAAATTCTTCTTCGGCTATTCTGAAGAGCTCTCTGAAAATCTCGCTGTTAAGATATGCCAAAGGAATCATAAACCGTTTTTTATCACTTGTGTAAACAACAAAGTGACCTTTCTCGGCCACTGGTCTTGGCCAAGAAATTCTCTTTCTGCCTGCAGCTGCTAGTCTTTGCCATTTCCTTGCCATGTTGACAAGTTTCTTTGTACTGATCATTTTGTTGGTTTTCATAAAGAAAAAGTATGAAGAAAGTTTGTTTAAGCTGAGAAAGGCTTTGGAATGTAAAGAGGAATTGAAGTTAGGTGTGATGGGTTGAGAAAGGCTTTGAAGAATGATCGAGTTTTATAGCTCCAAGCTAAAGGCATATCGCGTCATGGTGGGACTGCCTTGTATTCATTCTTTGGAGGCAAGTTCATGTGGATATACTTATTAACAGGATATTCAGGTGGGTTTGTCTGATTTACTGCTCAATATTGCAAACGTTTTTACAGATTTCAGGTCTGAGATAATGTAGGCCAAATATGTCACCATATAATTTATGCAAGTTGCTTCTTAGTAGGACTAATAAGCTTGTTTTTCAATGGTTGAAAGTTGAAGTCAAGTTGATCATCTCTTCGAAAGGTCGAGTCATGAACATCTTTCAGCAATTACAGCTGCAATGAGATTCTGAAGGGCCAATGCAGATCAAACTGATATAGACATACACTTTAATTTATGGTTGTTATGTTGTGAGTAGGGTTCAACATGAAGCATAAGCATGTGATGACAGGTGAAAGTTACTTTAAATTATATAGCTACTTTAATTTCAAGTTAGGAAAATCCAAATGTTCTCACTGTTAAATTTGCTCACCATTCCTTTGGGTGGTTCATGAATTAAGTTAATTTATCACATCTATCCATCACTGTTAACATGTTTACATCTCTACAATACTTATGTAACTTTTCTTTGAAAGTCGTAATTTACAGCCGTCTAATGAGATAGATAGGAATATACCATTTTGAGATGGTTCAAAATAGAAATATGACAAATTATTTAGGGGGCCGATGGTATATGAGAATCTCAAATATTGTATGTTAATTATTCCATTTGTTTATTCGCAATTCATGCATATCAAACAACAATATAAGAAACAGTAAGTTAAAAAAACACTTGCACAACGGAGAGACTAAAATTTTCTGATTATCTTCTTTCTGAAATTTTATTAACATTCTAGTCCTACTTAAAAATTTCTACTGTATGTATTTTGTACAAAAAAAAGGAGTAACAAAACTACTTTTTTTTTCCTAGAAACTACATAAAAACATTTGTGGATTTCGTTCTTGATGTTCATGTGACAATGATGAGTATCTGCAGCTAGTTAAGGACATGATCAACGCCTTCTTCAAGTCATCTGCTACACATCTTTGGATCATAGAGATCACATAATCCATAAAATGTGAATCGCAAGGCAATGTAATTGGCCCTGAACTTGTAACTCCAAATTCTTCCTCGGCTATTTTAAGGAGCTCTATGAAAATTTCGCTCTTCAAATATGCCAAAGGAATCATGTATCGTCTTCCATCTGCTGTGTAGACAACAAAATGACCCTCATTCGCCACAGGATGTGACCAAGAGATCTTCTTCCTGCTGGCAGCTGCTATCTTTTGCCACTTTCGTGCCATCTTGATAAGTTTCTTTGTGCTGATCATGTTGTTGTGTTTTAAGAGTGAAAGAAGAGAATTTCGCAAAGTTGATAAGTTAGTTGAATTTGATGAGAATTTTAAAGTTTGAATTGGATGGAAAGAGTAGAGGAAGTGGTCAAGTTTTATAGCTTCAACCTGAAGACATATCACTTCATTGGTGCCTTACTTGTTTACATTATTAGGAAGCATAACCACGCGATTAACTTTATGTTGCTTTGGATGATCCCAAAACATGTAGTCCAAAGATGTTTTTTTAACAATTAATATAAGCCTAGTATCACCCACTCAATTAGATTACTGTATTACAAGTGTGTGATGGTTCTGATTTTTCCACACCTAATATCTAATCTGTTTAATTGTTTTGTTCTTTGATGGATGTGGAAACTGAAACATCTGCATTTAATTAGCTGGTGAGTACTTGGCGTTATGTTAGCAGGAAGTTTACACAATAATCAATCAATTGGTTGCGAAGAGGCTGGTATCTATGAGCAACATAGTAGGCCTGTATGATCTGGGATTTGTCAAAATGGTTGCCAGATGGAAATTAAATCAGACAAGGCCACATGAACAACCACATGAACTTGCTTTCGATGAATGAAAGCAAGGCAGTCCCACGACGAAGTGATATGTCTTTAGCTTGGAGCTATAAAACTTGATCATCCTCCAAAGCCTTCTCATCCAAACATTGCTATATCATCATTCATCATTACATTCATATCTACTTTCTCATCTTCGAAAAATTCTCTCCTGATCTTATAACCTACAAAATGATTAGTACAAAGAAGCTTATCAAAATGGCAAGGAAATGGCAAAGATTAGCAGCAGCCGGTAGAAGGAGAATTTCTTGGTCAAGAGCAGTGGCTGAGAAGGGTCACTTTGTTGTTTATACAAATGACAATAAACGGTTTATGATTCCTTTGAATTATCTCAAGAGCGAGATGTTCATAGAGCTCTTAAAAATGGCAGAGGAAGAATTTGGAGTAACAAGTTCAGGGCCAATTACACTGCCTTGCAATTCAAATTTCATGGAGTACGCGATCTCCATGATCCAAAGACATGTCGCTGAGGACTTGAAGCAGGCACTAATCATGTCCTTAGCCACTTGTAGATACTCATCATTGTCAAATGATCAACAAGATCAAAATAATCAACAATTATATATATCTGTAGTTTCTAGAAAATTTTCCTAGATCTTTTTGTAGAAAATGTATAGTTGTACAATCTTACTGAGAAAGTTAATGAAAATCTAGCAGAAATTTGAATCAGATGGCCTTCATTTTAACAGTGCACTCTTCTCTATCTTTTCATGCTACATGTTATAAACTGCAGGTAATTTACAGTTCCTTGAACAGAGGAATTTACCTTATAAGATGTATTACAAACCTATTGACTGAGATCTGATGTTGCAATTTAGTTAGAGTGATATTTGGTTAACCAAGCAATGAACAACAGATGTCCTAGAGAAGGCAATACTATCTACTCTCAAAGAGTCAAGGGTATCTTGGCAAAATCACTGGCTTTTAAGCTAAGTAACAAACATTTTACTGTAAAATAAAGTAAATAACAGCTATCTTAAACTTTTTTTTAGCTCATATGTTTGCATTTGCTACTGCAACAAAGTAAAAACATCTGACTGTGAAAGTAATTTGGGACAAACGCGAAAGTTAAGTATGCAAATTAATAAGGGAAACGGAGTATGAGTATTCATCTATGTTATAATTGGCTGAAAGGAACCATGTTTATATTGCCAGAAACAATAAACATAATTTATAGTTGCCTAGTTATATGTAGGGTTAATATGTTCAATATGAAACAGCATATGGCTAGTTATTGATAAATTAATCACATGCTCTTTCAATAATGTAAAAGGCAAATATACAATGTAAAAATTTTCCATCAACCCTATCACTAGACCGAATATATATACCTATGTTACTCGAACTCTTCACTATAGTTAGAAACATTTAGTCCAACAATTGATTATGATGTGTGAATATGTTTTACTCTTTGCAAGAAATTTTTAATAAGGAAAAGAAAAATGGGTGTAAGCTGTATTTCTGTGATCACAATGCAGTTTATTTGAATAAAAATTTAAGAGAGGCACAATCATATGATGGCAAATTTGTTTGATTTGAATGTTTGATCTCGTTAATTTTCTAAGTAAATTATATAATCATGTATCATCTATACAAAAGGGTAAAAAAAAAAATATTTATATTCTAAAAACTACAAATCAACAATTTTGAATTTGTTTGTTCTTGATGTTGATCTTGTGACAATGATGAGTATCTGCAGCTAGTTAATGACATGATCAGCGCCTTTTCTAAATCTTCAGTTACACATCTCTGAATCATAGAGATCGCGTACTCCATGAATTTCGAATCACAAGGCAGAGTAATTGGCCCTGAACTTGTAACTCCAAATTCTTCCTCGGCTATTCTAAGAAGCTCTATGAAAAGTTCGTTCTTGAGATAAGCTAAAGGAATGGTAAATCGTCTTCCATCTGTTGAGTAGACGACAAAGTGGCCCTTATCAGCCACTGGACGCGGCCAGGATATCCTCTTCCTGCTTGCAGCTGCAATCTTTTGCCACTTTTTTGCCATCTTGAGGAGTTTCTTTGTACTAATCATTTTGAGGTTTAACTTTTTAGAGTGCAAGAAGAGTTTTTTTCGAAGATGAGGAAACAGGTGTGTATGAGGAATTTAGCAATTGAGTTGGTTGAAAATTGCTGAGAGAATAGGCAAGTTTTATAGCTTCAATGAAAAAGACAAATCACTTCATCAGTGACAGCCTTGTTCACATCATTTGGAAGCAAAGCCACGCGATTAATTAAGTTTATGTTACTATGAATGATCACAAAACATGTAGTCCAAAGATGTTTTTTTATAATTAATATACACCTGTTGTTAGCCATTCAAATAGATTATCGTTTTACAACTTTACAAGTGTGTAATGGTTATTTATTTTGCTCCACTAATATCTAATCTGTGTTATTGTTCTGTTCTTTGATGGATGAGGAAACAGAAACATCTGCATTTAATTAGCTGGTGAGTACTTGGCGGTTCATTAGCAGGAAGTTTACACGATATTCAATCAAATGGTTGCGAAGAGGCTTGTATCTATGAGCAACATATTAGGCCTGTATGATCTGTAATCTGTCAAAAAGAAAAGTAAATCAGACAAAGCCACATGAATAACCACATGAGCTTGCTTTCAATGATTTTAAACAAGGTAGTCCCACGTCGAAGTGATATGTCTTTAGCTTGGAGCTATAAAACTTGATCATTCTCCAAAGTCTTCATTCTCATCCAAGCATAGCAAAATCATTCATCATTATAACATTCCAATCTACTTTCTCATCTTCGAAAAATTCTTTACTGATCTTATAGCCTTCAAAATGATTAGTACTAAGAAGCTTATCAAAATGGCAAGGAAATGGCAAAGATTAGCAGCTGCCGGAAGAAGGAGAATTTCTTGGTCAAGAGCAGTGGCTGAGAAGGGTCACTTTGTTGTTTATACAAGTGACAATAAACGGTTTATGATTCCTTTGAATTATCTTAAGAGTGAGATGTTCATAGAGCTCTTAAAAATGGCAGAGGAAGAGTTTGGAGTAACAAGTTCAGGGCCAATTACGTTGCCTTGTGATTCAAATTTCATGGAGTACGCGATCTCTATGATCCAAAGACACGTTGCTGAGGAGTTGGAGCAGGCACTAATCATGTCCTTAGCCACTTGTAGATACTCTTCATTGTCAAATGACCACCAAGATCAGACTAATCAACAATTAGTCATCTGTAGTTTCTAGAAACTTCTCCTCAATCTTTTTGTAGATAACATATAGTTGTACAATTTTACTGAGATAGTTAATGAAATTTCTATGAAAGTTCCAATCATTTGGCCTTGTTATTTTAGCAGTGAACCCTTCTTAATATTTTCATGCTTCATGGTATATACTGCAAGTAATTTACGGTTCCTGGAACAGAGGATTTTGCCTTTAGGCCTTGCCTGGACTTAGTATAATGATTAAGGGGTATCTCAGTTCCCGGTATTACCCTTAGTTCCTGTATTACAAGCTGAGATTTAATGTTGTCAGTTAGATACAGCACGCGGCTTTGCCATTTAGTTAACCGGACTATGACCAATCTATGTCCAAGGAATAATTATCAACTCTCAAAGACTTTAGGGTATCTTGGCAAAATCACAGGCTTTTAGTTGATTAAGCAACAATTTTTTCTTAAAATGTTTTTTATCTGATATGTTTAAAATCACTACTGCAATGACATCTCTGGTGCCTAGGAAAATCAAATTGTACATTGAAATAAAATTAATAATTGTTGTGTACGAAAGTAGTTTTGGACAAACGCGAAAGATTAGTGTGCAAAATTATATGGGACTCGGAGGGTGAGTATTCACCTATGTTATACCAAGAAATTGTTAGAAAGGAACCATATATGTATGCCTGATAAATATAGCATCATTTATGTTGCCTAGTTTTTTGTTGGGTTAATATGTTCAACTTGAAACAAAAGCATTTGGAAATGATAAGCTATGATATAGGAAGTATGATTCTTAAACCTTTCAACATAGATTTAAAAAATCTGTAAGAAGCATGTACTGTATTTCTATGATCATTTTGCAGTTTGTATTGTGCCAAGAATTAGATTTAAGACAAGGGGAGAACATTCATATAAAGGCAAAATTGTTTGGTATAAATGATTGAATAACTTCTTTCATTAATTTTCTAAGTTTGTATAATCAAGGTATGTTCCATACAAGGGGAAACAAAATTGTAATCTAGAAACTGCAAATCAACAAATTTGAATTTGTTTGTTCTTGATGTTGATCATGTAACATCGGCGAGTATTTACAGCTTGCTAACGACATGATCAATGCCTTCTCTAAATCCTCAGCTACACGTCTTTGAATCATAGAGATCGCATACTCCATGAATTTTGAATCGCAAGGCAGTGTAATTGGCCCTGAACTTGTAACTCCATATTCTTCCTCGGCTATTCTAAGGAGCTCTATGAAAAGCTCGCTCTTGAGATAAGCTAAAGGAATGGTAAATCTTCTTCCATCAGTTGTGTAGACGACAAAGTGGCCTTTATCAGTTGGTGGTTTCGGCCAGGAGATCCTCTTCCTGCTGGCTGCTGCTATCTTTTGCCACTTTTTTGCCATCTTGAGGAGCTTCTTTGTACTAATCATTTTGAGTTTTAACTTTTTAGAGTTCAAGAAGAGATTTTTTTCGAAGATGAGGAAATTGATGAGTATGAGGAATTTAGCAATTGAGTTGGTTGGAAATTGTTGAGGAAATGAGCAAGTTTTATAGCTCCAAGCTAAAGACAGATCACTTCATTGGTGACAGCCTTGTTCTTATGAATTGGAAGCAAAGCCACGCGATTAGGTTTATGTTTCTTTGGATGATCCCAAAACATGTAGCCCACGTTTGTCTCTTGATAATAAACATAAACCTCTTCTAAGCCACTCGATTAGATTATTGAATCATAAATCCAATGGTTCTGCTTTTTCTTTTATCTAATATCTAATCTGCATAATTATGCTGTTTTCTGATGCACATGGAAACTAAACATCTGCATTTAATTAGTTGGTATGTGCTTGGTAGTATGAAGGCAAGAAGTTTATCATTTGAGCTAATTTGTCAGATAGATTGTTGAAGTGTAATGTCTTGTATCTTATCAAGCTACCCAGAATTTTTTCCTACTATCCAACATAAAAACAAGCTAACATGGAGTAGTGTTTGGATCATTAAATCTTTGTTGACAGATGTAGCTAAACTCGCCGTGTTCCATATGGTATAAGGTTGTTAAAATTGTGTGAATATTGGCTAAACAACTGGCACCATCATATATAGCCTTAACTTATCCAGTTATCCTAAGGAATGAAAGTCTGTACTGCAGGACGGATTTTCTGTACCATATACTTGAGGCGTACCACAAAGTACCTGATAAAATCTAGTATTTTTCTGTATTGTTTAATACAGTAGAAAGATATCTGTTGATTTATCATCAGTTTTATAGGTGGATCACACATAACTCGTTTATCTAATTTAAGGGAGTGTTCTTTATTGTTGCGAGTTTTCAGTTTTCTGTTCTTTAGAAAACTAGTTTCTAGAAACCACTAGAGGTAGACAGGGAGTTTTTCATTTTCTGTTAGTTTTCAGAATCATCAAAACTTCAAAAGTTATGCTACTGTATATGAAATATGACTGCAGTAGTAAATTACCATTTGTATGCTCATGAAATGAAATAAATATACTTCGATTTGATTTATCTATGAACTTTTTCTTGAATTTACAATGATTTCTAGTACATAATTCATACAAGTTAAAAAAAAAGTTGTCAGACAGCTACATTTTCACAAATTTTGATGATTATGATCCTTGATATAATCCCAAAGATGAGCAGCAGAAATCAGCTAAGGAAAGGAGCGCGTCTTTAAGATCAACAAATGCATGGTTTCTAACAATAAACATTGCATACTCCATGAAAACTGAATCACAAGGTAGAGTGATGGGTCCATCACTAGGCACCCCAAACTCTTCTTCTGCCATCCGAAATAGCTCTCTAAACACCTCGCTCTTCAGATATGACAAGGGGATCATAAACCGTTTTCCATCAATAGTATACGCGACAAAATGACCTTTTTCAGCCACTGCTCTTTTAGGCCATGTAACTCTTCCCTTAGGTGCAGCCTTATTTTGCCACTTTCTTGTCAATTTGAACAATTTCTTGGTACTAATTACCATGATTTTAGCTTACTGAGGCAGAAAGAGAGGGAATTAAAATGCTTAAAAACACAAGAAAACAACGCGAAATAGTTTAAGTTATATACTACACTTATTTAGGTGATTGACCAAAGGACACTCATTTTGTACTTGACTTCTAAGAAGCTGATTTTTTGGAGCAAAAACATGTGGAATAATGTAGATATGTGAAGGTTTGCTTAGCATATGTTTCGAACTAAAACTACCAATAATGCAATGAAACAGCATTTTTTTCGTGCAAGTTTAGGCCTATATGTCTCCTATGTCCTTACAATAGCACGGCTGCACGAACAATATGTGGTTCATCAGAAAAGAATAGATAGAATTGGAAGAAGGAAATGTGCCCTTTATTTCTGTATCATTGTGTTCATGTCATTTGTGTGAAACAAAACAAACCCTTGCAGTAGAATTCTGCATTTTCTTCTGATAATGTTACAGCCTTACTTGTTTTTCATCCACTAATTAGGAGATCTTATATAATCCATACATTTGTAATTTGTATTATCAAATTGTAATTGATCCAAGTACTTCTACTCATCAATGAACCATTTTTGATAAATTTCATACATAGAATCAGAAGCATTTTAATAAAGCTTATTTACTTGAGGATTAGAGAATATTTCCTTTATTAGGAATTCTATTATACTTGTAGTATTTTTATTAAATTAAAGTATAATCTTGTGGCCAAATTTTTATAAATCATGATCTACATTATTCCAGCTCCAAAAAATGAAGGTTTGCTTAACATATGCTTAACATTTTTTTTCCAGCTATATATGGTTTGCTTAGCATATACTTAACATTTATTAACCGATTTACTCGTGAATTGTTAATAAATTCCTAGATTAACACTAAAAAAAGGAAGTATATTAAAGGGCTGCATATAGCATTACACTGTAAAAATATTTGTAAGTTGTAATTAGAGCTATCAAAAGTTGACCCGATCCGAAATACCGACTCAAACCCGATTATTAACCGAACCATCTAAACCCGAAAAAATGGTGACCCAAACCCGACCTGAAACCAATCCTAGACCCGAATTGACCCTAGTATGTGAGACCCGAACCCGAATATGAACTGTTCTGGAGATGACCCGACCTGAATGTAACCCGTAAATTATGGACCTGAACCAAACTCGACTTGAATCGAAATTGACCCAAACCCGTTTTAATCCATCAAAACCCGAATTTAACCCGACTTGTTACTAATTTGACCTGAATTCAACCCGATCTGAAATCAACCCGACTTGTTATTGACCTAACCCAAATTCAACCCGACTTGTTATTAACCCAACCCGAATTTTACCAAACCTATTACTAACTCAACCCAAAAATTCAACCCGATCTGTTACTAACCCGACTTGAAATCAACACGACTTGTTATTGAGCCGACTTAAATTCAACCCAAATTGTTCCCGACCCGATTTCAAATCACCTTAAATGCAATTTAGACCACCTTTTTATTGTTGATCAAAGCATTTTGTCTAGGGAGACCAAGTCGGTCCAGGCCAGCAAAAGAAAGGAGCATCATCCTCAAATTTAAGAGTTAAATATAGTACATATTTGTTGTATGGTTAAATGAGATAATTATCTTCCTAAATTATAAACTAAATTCCCTAGTATATTGCCATGTATATTATAGTCAAAGGAAATAATTAGCTTGATAAAAATGATAATTATTAATTTATAGTTAGTTGAACTAGAATATGACTTGACTTGGAAATGACCCCACCTTGACTTGAACATAACCCGACTTGACTCCGAGAATGACCCGACTTGGAAATGACCCAACTTGATTATAACCCGCAAGTTATTGACTTGAAATGAACCCGACTTGAAAATGACCCGACCTGATTATGACCCGCAAATTATTGACTTGAACCGAACCCGACTCAAACCCGAGAATGACCCGACCTAATTCTAACCCGAAAATTATTGAATTGAACCGAACCCGACTCGAACCCGAGAATTACCCTAACATGTTTTAACCCGTGAAAACCCGAATTAAACCGACCTATTGTTCACCCGACCCGAATGTAACCAAACCTGTTATTAACCCAACCTAAACCCAACCCAAACCCGATAAGAAGTATAACACGACGTGACACGAATCAAGCATGACCCAACCCAAACCCGACGTGCATAGGTTATGGAATCAATTCGAATTGACCCGAACCAAACCCAACCAGTTTACCCGAATTGACAGCTCTACCCGAAACATCCAAAATTTCTCAAAAAGCGTGGATTTTAGCCTTCAAATTTGGAATTTTTTGACTTGTTTTCACCCATAAATAAAAATTGCCGAAATGTTTACAATGGTCTCTAATACTCTTCGGGAGTCCAATTGGCTGGGTAGAACCATCCAATTTTCCTTTAAACGACCAATTTACCGGTTTACAACTTGCACCGATTTCATTAACTCAAGCTTACCATGAACATTAATGACAACAAATAGTGATCATATATGGTTCCAAAGAACATTATATGACTCCGAAATGTATTCCCTAGAATCTCAAGGCTTTTCGATACCGGGCTCCGAAATCTACAAAATTTCTCAAAAAGCATAGATATTAGACTTTAATATTGTAATTTTTAGACTTTTTTCGCCCGAAAATAATAATTGCCGAAATATTTACCATGGTCCCTAATACCCCTCAGGAGTCCAATTGGGTGGGTGGAACCATCCGATTTGTCTTTAGACGGCCTATTTACCGGTTTATAACTTGCACAGATTTCATTAACTCAAGCCTGCCACGAACATTTATAACAACAAATAATGATCATATATGGTTCCAAACAGCATTATATGACCCCGAGATGTATCCCCTACACTTTCGAGACTTTTCAACACCAGGCCCCGAATCCTCCAAAATTTCTCAAAAAGTGTGGATATTAGTCTTCAATTTTGGTATTTTTGACTTTTTTTTCGCCCGAAAATAAAAATTGCCGAAATTTTTTTACCATGGTCCCTAATACCATCCGGGAGTCCCATTGGGTGGGTGGAACCATCCAATTTGCCTTTAAACAACCAATTTACCGGTTTACAAATTGCACCGATTTCAATAATTCAAGCCTACCACGAACATTTATGACAACAAATAATGATCATATATGGTTCCAAACAGCATTATATGACCCCGAGATGTATCCCCTAAAATTTCAAGACTTTTCGACATCGAGTCCCGAAACCTCCAAAATTTCTCAAAAAGCGTGGACATTAGTCTTCAATTTTGGAATTTTTTGACTTTTTTTCGCCCGGAAATAAAAATTGCCGAAATGATTTTCATGGTCCCTAATACCCTTTGGGAGTCTAATTGGGTTGGTAGAACCATTCAATTTGCCTTTAAACGACCAATTTAATTACCGGTTTACAAATTGCACTGATTTCATTAACTTTAGCCTACTACGAACATTTATGTCAACATATAATGATCATATATGGTTCCAAACGGCATTATATGACCCCGAGATGTATCCCCTAAAATATTAATACTTTTCGACACCGGGCTCCGAAACCTCCAAAATTTCTTAAAAAGCATGGATATAAGCCTTCAATTTTGAAATTTTTTGATTTTTTTTTGCCCTGAAAAAAAAATTGCCGAAATGTTTACCATGGTCCCTAATACCCTCCGGGAGTCCAATTGGGTAGGTGGAACCATCCAATTTGCCTTTAAACGACCAAATTACCGGTTTACAACTTGCACCGATTTCATTAATTCAAGCCTAGCACGAACATTTATGACAACAAATAATGATCATATATGGTTCCAAACGACATTATATGACCCCGAGATGTATCCCATAGAATTTCAAGACTTTTCAACACCAGGCCCGAAACCTCCAAAATTTCTCAAAAAGCGTGGATATAGCCTTCAATTTTGGAAGTTTTTGACTTTTTTTTCGCTCAGAAATAAAAATTACCGAAATGTTTATCATGGTCCCTAATATACTCCGGGAGTCCAATTGGATGTGTGGAACCGTTAAATTGCTTTTAAACGGCCAATTTAATTAACTTGCACTGCACCTGACTTGAACCGAAATTGATCCAAACCCGTTTTTAACCCGTCAAAAACCAAATTTAACCCAACTTGTTACGAACCTGACCTGAATTTAACCTGTCTAGTTCCTAACCCGACCCGAATTTAACCCAACCTGATACAAACCGACCTGAAATCAACCCGACTTGTTATTGACCTAACCCAAACTCAACCCAACTTGTTATTGACCCGACCTGAATTTTACCCGACCCAAAAATTCAACCCGATTTGTTACTAACCCGACTAAAAAATAACACGACTTGTTATTGACCCGACCTAAATTCAACCCAAACTGTTCCTAATCCGATTTCAATCACCTTAAATGCAATTTAGACCGCCTTATTATTGTTGATCAAAGCATTTTGTCTTGGGAGACCAAGTCGGTCCAAGCAGCAAAAGAAAGGAGCATCATCCTCAAATTTAAGAGTTAAATATAGTATATATTTGTTGTATGGTCAAAGGAGATAATTATCTTCCTAAATTATAGACTATAGTTCCCTAGTATATTGCCATATACTTCGTATATTATAGTCAAAGGAAATAATTAGCTTGATAAAAATGATAATAAACTATTTATAGTTAGTTGAACCCGAATATGATCTGACTTGGAAATGACCTGACCTGATTATAACCTACAAATTATTGAATTGAACATAACCCGACTTGAATCCGAGAATGACCCGACTTGGAAATGACCCAACCTGATTATAACCCGCAAATTATTGACTTGAACCGAACCGGACTTGAACCCGAAAATGACCCGACCTGATTATAATCCGCAAATTATTGACTTGAACTGAACCCGACTCAAACTCGAGGATGACCCAACCTGATTCTAACCCGTAAATTATTGACTCGAACCGAACTCGACTCGAACCCGGGAATTACCCTAACCCGTTTTTAAAAAACCAGAATTAAATCCGACCTATTGTTCACTCGACTCGAA